GTCACTTGGTTCCACAGAGATGATCCAATGAATGGTATCACCGAATTGGATGCGGGTAACGTTATTTGACAGGACATGTCCTTATGAGAACAGCCTTAGTAATGCATTAATACTTTTACCACTTGGAGAGCATCTTCCCACCTGTCACCTGGAATAACATTAGCATCACTCCTGGAATTAGCATTCACCTGGAATAACAAAGACATCACTCACAGGCACGGTGAGCGATACCTTAAGGCTGAAAAATGTTTGTTTGATCTCTATCCTTCATTTATCATAGTAGGATGAGAAAGGCCTCTGACCACTGCTCCAAAAGGCCCATGTTATCTTTGTCAAAGCTAAAATGTGTATCAGGTATTTCATGTGATGAGCTGTGAGATCAAGTTCTCTCTGTACAAACTCTACCACGTAGGATAAGCAACAATCTACTTAGCGGTCACAAAGAACTAAACCAAACTTCTCAACGTGGTGATGTCTTCAGCCAAACCAGGTTCTGGAGCTCCAAGGAAACCAAAAGCCCAGAGACCAGCCATCACAAAGCCATCAAAATCACATCTTGCAGGGTACAAACCAACATCCTACATTACACAGGGAATGAGGCATGCTAATCCATGTTCCTCCAGGCCTCTGCAACGAAGCCGTGAAGCAGCTGGCACACCATCCACCCCACCAAGGCAATTCCCCCACATAACTGCCACCCATCCCCTGGCTCACACCAGCACCCACAAAGGATTCGGCAGCCACCAAGTTATACTCAACCTGGTCCGCCCCAAAAGGGGTGATGTTGGCCTTGACCGACCCGACGCCCAGCCCCACGAGGACCAGTCCCACGAAGGTGGCGGCGGCACAGTAGCGGGTGGTTCCCGCTTGTGCGCAGGGCACGGGGGTGGCGTTGGCCGCTGGAGAGGAGCAGTTCTCCACGGGGAACAAGGGGATGTCCCCGCAGAGGCCCTGCCGGGTGTGCGGTGCAGCGATGACGGGGAAGGCCAGCATGCCCAGCAGGTAGAGCGCCATGCTGAGCAGGATGGTGCCGAACTTGCCCAGCAGGGCGTCAGCCAGCCAGCCGCCGAAGGGCGACACCAGGTAGGTGATGCCCATGAAGAGCAGCAGGGCCTGGCTGGCCTGGGCGCCCTCCCAGCCGTAGGGCGGCCCGTTGAGGAACAGCACCAGGTTGGAGGTGACGCCGTAGAAGGCCGCCCGCTCCAGCAGCTCGGCCAGCAGCACGGCGCCGCACGCCACCCGCCGCCCGTGGAATGCGTCGCTCGCCGCCCGCCCGCGCTCCCCGCTGCCCAGCAAGGGGCTGCGCTCGCTCGGATCCGCCTCGTCCATGGCGGCGGCGGCGCCTCCTGGGACCGCCACGGCCCTACCCGGCCCCGCCGCGGAGCCGCCGCCCGGCTCGGCCCAGCCTGAGGAAACTTCCCCACCGCCCCACGGAGGTGGGCGGGGGGGTGGGCGGGGCAGAGTGGCGCGCCTCCATTGGTTGAGGTGGCTGTCGCTCCGCGTCACGTCGGTGGGAGGGCCGGCGGTAGAGGTGGTGCGAGGGAGGGGTGGGGGTAGTAGGAGAGGAAGGGGCGGGGCGTGAGGGGAGGTGGGGAAGGGCGGTGGGGTGGGGAGGGGCCGCGGGCGGCGCCTGGGCGCGGGGCGGCCGCAGGGACGGAGGCGGGGAGGGGGATTCGCGGGCCTCAGCCTAACCCCTAGCTTCAGCCCGATTTTTGCGCTGCAGCGCCCTTTGAGGTGCCAGGCAGGGTACAGGAGGCACGGAGGGAGGAGGCTGCAGCGGGAAGTTTGGTGTGATGGCTGCTTGGGGCGTTCCTTAAGGCCGGGATCGCGTTTGAGGCGTCAAATGGAACCGCGTGCCGTGAATAACTTACCTGGGCTCAGTCCTGGCCTCTGTCAGGGCCCTCGTTTTCTCCTCGGTTTTTATCCAGGTTAACGGCAGCGAGGAGTGCTGACAGCAGGAGCCCTTGCTGGTCTACATGGAGACTGATATCAGTGCGTGGTTAGAGAACGTGCACTGGTTGTGGCAGGGCTGGGGGCCTAAGGTGGGCTATGTCTCACCATCACGTGTGCTAAAGTAAAGATCATGAAAGTACATTATTGTCTTAAACAATATACTTTATAGCCTCAACTCTTGCCAGAACCAAGTCAGAAACATACTCTAGTTACATGTTTTCTAAAAGGCAGACAGATTGACATCATGTAGTTACACCCAACGTTTAGGTATGACTTAAAAGTTTTGGAACAGCATTGGTAATTGAGCGAGTAATGCTTGTAAAAGCAAATATATTCGTTTAATGATGGGTCTTTGTAAATAATATGTGCCATAAAAATGACTCATTAAATATATTTGCACTCTTAACTAGTTGTATTTCGTGTCAAAGGGCAATGAGGAAAATGCAACTGGCTGTACGGAGATCTCTTTTTGTGAACTACTGTAACATGACAATCTAATCTAAAGCATTACATTTCAGGTTTGCCCTACTTAATACAGTACATCATATCAGCCATGTGATTACATCTTCTAGGGGGTCTAGTAGTATTTCCTAGAGGCTACAAAATAACCAAGTGCTCTGCATTATTGTGTGTTTCAATATATGCAATTACCACGTTGTAGGTCCTTCATAATTTCCCTTAGCATAGGGTGAGATTTTTTGTTGGCCCATCCAACAACTGTTAAAAGCACCTAGCAATGTAAAATAACATTTGAAATGTATGCTGTAAAATATTATTTAAATCCTCAGGTATTGACAAATTCTTACTGAAATTGAGAAGCTGCTGTTCTAACTTGAACATTCTGTCTTGAAGCAATAGTGGTTTTAAGAAGAATATTTTTAATTTTTCTCCAAACAAGAACATATAGCTACAATATGTTTAAAACTTCTTCATTAAAATGCATGTACATGTTTTCAAAGATGCAACAAAACCTAATGCTGCAAAGACTTGTAGGTTAATTTTGTTAGTCAAAACCTATGGACAAAAAAATGTATAGTAATAAAATGTTCAGACCTCTTTCACTATTTCTTTTATTTCCTCTTTATTTCCCAGATGACTGGTTGAGTTTCCTTACTTGTTTTGGTTATTTGGTGGAACAGACCTTGTCTGCTTTGATGTTTGTGTTTTTGTCTTTTTTGTGTTATACACTAAATGTGTTGGGTAGCTGTTTGGTTTTTGAGCTTGTGGTTTTGTTTAAAAAAGAAAAAAGCTACGATGGCCAAGTTCTTTGCAATTAGGTGGCTTATGGAGATTCATCACCACAGCTTCCTTTTTACCAATAGACGTGACTTTCTGAGTCACTCACATATCCTGCTTTGGTCTGTATAACTAGAAAATGCCCCTGTTTGGGTTACATGAGCTAATTTAGGCCAGCGGTACAGGGCTGCAAGAACACGGCAGGTGTGCTTCTTGTTTGGGACACACACTGCCAGCCTTTCTTGGTGCAGTACCCCTGGATGAACCACCTTGTGGGGGTGTGTTTCTTGGAACCAGAATGAAGGGGTGCCGATAATGGATATAGATCAGCAATGTGTCAGGAGACAAAAGGCAGCTGTGTGTCATGCTGTCAGTGTGATGTATTTGAGGTCTGCTGGACAGTGACAACAGGGCAGAGATGAATTTTATAGCAGGGATGGCTGGTGCTGGCCATCCAGCTGGAATCCTCACCGGGTTGACAAAAGCACTCTGAATTTCAATGGAGCTGGGATTTCATGCCAGAAATGCTTTCTAAAACAGTGATGAAAATGTAGCTTGGTGGAAGTGTAGCTTGGTCCTGCCTACCCTTAAATTAGCATTTGTGCTATTTTCAGCATTTATGCAAGACTTGGTGCTCTTAGCTTCTAAATAGAAGCCAACTTTTTTAGTTTGCATGAACATTAAAATGGTCTGAAGAGTATGTTATGCTGAATGATTTCCAGCTGAGCCTCAGTGAGATGCAGAGTTGAACATACCTCTGTAGCATGAAGGTCTTAGCAGAACCCAAGCCTGATTACCAAAATACTTAACAATTTGCCAAAGTATGGTAGGAAGAAAAAAAAAAAAAAAAAAAAAAAAAGTACATCTTTTCCTCTTCTAAACCTTCAATTCCTGAGTACCTGTCATCCTCAGAGATCCACAGAAAGCATATCAAGATCTATGATTTTTTAAATTATGAATTTTAAGAGCCTTTCTCCATAAGTGGAGTGTATCTTTTACCCACAACTAACATGGAGACTTGAAGAGTAACTGAAACCAAAATAAACAGGCACTGCAGTTTGTGGACCACTTCTCTCATACAACCTCAGGCTAATATAGGCATTCATGTGGCCCCGTGATAAATTACATCTGGGAAATGGTCATGGTTATAAGCATCCGAGCAAAAAAGTGAGCTTTCTGTTAGATTAATTCCTCTTTCTAGTCTATCTCATGGTCACAGGCATCCTGCATATGCTCTCAATATTCTTAGAAAATACTGAATCAAGTTCAAGGCCATGGATATCTGCAGTCTGCCAGCTGGCCTCTGTCATTGTACCAAGGGACTCCCACAACTGGCCTCTCAGTTTTACTGCCTGTGCCCCACCCAGCCACTCGCTGTGCTGGTTATAATTGGAGTTTTGTCCTGAACACTTCCTTGATAGTTTGGGATCTGGTTTTCCTCGTCTGGGGTTCAGGCTCTTCCTTTGCCCCATCCATGGGGCAATGATGATCAGAGGGCTGAAACACCTCTCCTGTGGAGACAGTTGGGGTTATTTAGCTCAGAGAAGAGAAAGCTCTTGAGGGACACCTTTTTATCTGCCTTCTAATATTTAAAGGACCAGCAGGAACACTGGAGAGGGACTCTATTGGGATGTGTAGTGATGGGACAAGGGGTAATGGCTTTAAACTAAAAGAAGGTAGATTTAGGTTAGATATAAAGCAGAAATTCTCTATGAGGGTGGTGAGGCACTGTCCCAGGCTGCCCAGAGAAGCCGTGGCTGCCCCATCCCTGGCAGTGCCCATGGCCAGGCTGGACAGGGCTGGGGGCCCCAAACCATTCTACACTCCCCTCTGTGCATCTGTAACCGGGTTCTGCCCGCTGTACCAACACTGCAGCTCCTCACCAGACCCTTCCCCGGGCCTTACAGCCTTCCTGACACTAAGCGCGGTTTTTAACCTGGGGGACCTGGAGACATAGCCACCCACAGCCCACCCGAGGGCCACTGCCTCCTCAGGGACCGCCCGTGGCCCTGCCGGCTGTGCCGGCCGCTCCGCGCTGTTCCCGGGCCCGCCGGCAGGTGAGGGAGACACCGACTGAAGTGGCTGCTGGCCGGCCTGACGGGAGATGCAGCTATGAGACTGCTCTTGCTGGCGTGCCTCCGAGCGCAGACCGGCAACGCGACCACGGCGGACAGGATACAGTAAGAGTCCCGTGAGGGGACCGGGGGGATCCCCCCCGATCCACCGCCTCCCTAACATCCCCCATCTGCCGGCGCTGTTCCCCGGAAAGGGGGGAGGCGGCGGCGGCCCCGCTCACGCCGAGCTGCCGCGGCCCTGGCCATGAGGGGGGAGCTCCAAGGGGCTCCAAGGGCCATCCCCGGGGGTCCGGGGCCGGGGCCCGGCCGCCATTCGGTGCCCGCCGGCGGCGCACGGAGGCGGCGTCTCCACCTCAGCCGCGTGGATGGCGGCCGCCGGGGGTGTGTGAGGGGGCGGCGGCCAGACGCCCAGCGGCGGCTCCGCGGGCCCTGCTCCGGCGGTGCCGAGGGGGGATCCGCCGCTCTCCGGGGAGCCGGGGATGTGCCGGGTGAGGGGCCCGGGGAGGCACAGCCGCGCTGGCGGGAGGGGCTCCTGGAGAGGGGCTGGGGCACGGGGAGGCTTCGCTGCTGCTTTCCCCTACAGCAGGGGGGTAAGGGAGAGGGGGAGTGGAGGGAGTGCCCCCCGGCCACTTACATATATATATCTAAGTGTACATATGTATATATATGTATATATATATGTACATATATATGTAAGTGGCTGGGGGGCACTTATATATATATATATATATTATATATATTATATATATATCTTACATATATATATGTAAGATATACATATATATATGTAAGATTACTGTGTATATATATATATATATCAAGTTCAGCTCAAGGCAGTCTGTTGGCGGTGATCCCAGTTTGAAAGCCCAGAGCAGAGATGCCCTCACCAGTGTCACTGATGGCCCCTTGCACAACCCCGTTAGTCAGTGGTTAGTCAGTGGTGCAGCGGATTCCCAAGGGCTGTCTGTGTTGGGAAATACCCAGAATTAGATGACAAGTAAACGTGAAGAGCGGTAGCTTCTGAGGGCTCTGAAATGAGGGTCCATGCAGGAGTTCTCCTAGGGCAGCAGGGCAGCACTTCAGCAAGAGCCATTGCCATTACTTCCTTGCTGGGGGGCTCTGTGACATGCAGCTCCCATGGGAATTACAAACATATATATATATATATATATATATATATATATATAGTGCTTTGAAATTGTTTGGACTAACAGTGGTGCATAGAGACACAACATTCTTTTTTTTTTTTCATGAAATATGGAAAAAGTATGTGGGTGATGGCATTTTTAAATACTTAGATGTGCATTTAAGCTTTTTATGTTTTAAAAAAGAATTCCCATAAAAACATATTTTGTCCTCTTGAGACAGGCTTCTAGTTTGTAATCCACGATTTAGCTGTTTTTCTTAGGATGAGCCTCTCAGAACACCCTCTGCTATTACACATTTTCCTTGACCCTTCCTCTGTGTATTACCACATTTCACTGTTATGCATAGAAACGGTTGACAATGTTTAAGTTTTCACTCTAGTTATGTAATATTAAGTTCAATCTTAGATTTGTGCAGGGCTACTGTATTGTGTAAGATAGTGGTGAAACGTACCTTCTTTGCATCAGTCACACAGGCATTGAAGTTATAAAGCAGATGGAGAATAAAGACCAGAGAAGGCTGAAGTCTGTATTTTAAAAGAATAATTGCTAATAAAATACTTAGATGAATACATTCTTATGTTCTTAATACACATTTCGTACATGTACGTGTCATCATAGAGGTCATTTGTTGTAGTTTGTGGGGCATTCTTAATTTATGTAACTCTCATCTTTTGCTCTCACTGGATAAAACAAGGCTAGTTATTTTTGGGGTAGACTATATTCATTCTTCCTCCATAAGATTATTTCTTCTCCCTTTACAAATTAAGTATTCACATACTTTCAACTTCAACTTTGATGAAAGTCCAACAAACATCTAGTCTGTGGAGCAGTTTAGAGGTAATCTAGTAAACAGCTGGTTCTGCATTATTTCAGGTTAAACTAAGCATGAGTAAGCCAGTCAAACAAATGCCTGCGTATTATTTCAAATATGGTCTTTTAAATAAACCAGGATTGATCATAATCGTCTGAACATACTGCATCAAGACACAGTGGTTTAGCAAGGGGCCATTACTGAAGTTTCAGTGATCAGTAACTAATGTATGTTAGTACAAAAGAGAGAATAGGCTTGGTGAGACAGAACAGCACATGGTTTAACAGCAGATGGTTTAACATACTACAGTGTTAACACAATCATTTGCAGCTACATGAACTCATCTGCAGTATATGTGCAGAGTACACCAATTTGCTTTAGCATCCTAATGCTAATAGACACACCTTACACAAAATGGATGCCGCTTTCTCATGTGCATAGACCTTCAAACAGAAAGAAAGTCATGAATGAGAGGTTAGTTTAATTCATGTTCAAAATAAAGGTAGGTAAAGGATTCTAACAGAAATAGTCTTTGAGAATTAGTTACTTATGTCATGTTCAGTTGCTATCTTATCACTTAACATAAATGTTACTTATAGTAGTAATATAAAGAAGCCAATTTAGGAAAAAAAAAATCTGATCAGGAAAAGAAGTGAAGAGTATTAGCTAGCAATAAAATCTGAATTCCTGACTAAAAGGCTGCTCAAGTGACAGCTATCAGTAAAACCATGTCACATAGATACTTGTACCTAAAACTGGTTTTCTTAAGACTTTACTTTTTAAAAAAATATCTACACGTATGACCAAATGCTGGTCGAACTAATTTGCCATACTAAGGTTACGTTTATATAGTCACCTTTGTAGCATACATGTTAATACACTAAGAATAAATACTCAGATTAATATTTTTCTTCACTTGTTTCTGTATGCATACTTACGAAATTATTTGTTCAATCTATTTTTTTTTATATTGAACTATGGTAACTTTCAGTCGAGTATACATGAAACAATGAAGTTGCCTCCAGGTTGGACACTTGCCAGTGATGGTTAATTTTATGGCATAATATCACTGAGTATACTATGTTTATGATGTCACAGCTGTTTCTGTAACTGTTTCATCTTTTCATAAATAATATATTCATTTCCTGAGTTTAAAGTAGCTGATGACAAAGAAACCAAAATCTAATTTGGCTAGAAATCAGTTCACTAAAAGAAGTGATATAATGCAGGTGCTATGAGCTTTGTTTGTATTAGACGGCATAATCTTTAATTGCCTTGAGAAAACTGAGCAGTGAGTAGAGAATGAAACACAACGCAAAAGTCTTTGGTTGGGCTGCCATTCTTCAGTCCTAGCAATGAGATCAAAAAGGGTGTTAGGAAAGAAAAAATACATCTTCCGTGTCCCTTGAAATGTTCTATTAATCATTTATTACTTTATAGTGATGGGGAATAGAAATCTTGAATTAATTGGTTAATTAAAAACATTTGGAGGAAGTATTTTGTCAATACATAAATGTCTTTTTGGAGAGGAAGAGATTGTTTCAGTTTGAAATGGGACAGTTTAAATAGCTGTTTTGTAAATCTCCAGATAATCAACTGCAAGAGAATTAAACCCACAAATTCAACAATGCATGGCTTATTGCTCCTCTTTGCAATATTTTTCAGCACTGGACTTTAAGGTGTACTAAGTAAGTTTGTGGATGACACTAAATTGGGAGGAGAGGTTATTAACTGTTTCAAGGGTTGAGAGGCCTTGGAGAGAGATTTTGACAAATTAGAGGACCGGGCAATCAACAAGTATATGAAGTTTAACAAGAGCAAGTGCTGGATTCTGCACCTGGGAAGGGGCAATGCTGGATATACGTACAGACTGAGGGACCAGAGGCTGGAGAGCAGCCCCATGGAAAGGGATTTGGGGGTTCTGGTCAATGGCAAGTTGAGTGTGAGTCAGAAGTATGCCCTGGCAGCCAAGAGAGCCAGCTGTACCCAGGGGTGCATCAGACACGGCACTGCTGGCCTGTCAAGGGAATACATTGTCCTGCTCAGCTCTGTGCTGGTGCAGCCTCACCTCAAGTTCTGTGTGTGGTTTTGGCACCACAATATATGAAGAACATAAAACTTTTTGAGAGTGTCCAAAGGAGGGCTATAAAGATAGTGACGTGTCTGGAGGGCAAGGCACATGAGGAGCAGCTGAGATCTCTTGGTTTGCTCAGCCCAGAGCAGAGCAGGCTGAGGGGAGGCCTCATGGTGGCTTGCAGCTCCCTCACAAGGGGAGCGGAGGGGCAGGTGCTGAGCTCTGCTCTTGGGGACAGCGACAGGACCCGGTGGAATTGCATGGAGGTGGGACAGGGGAGGGTCAAGCTGGGTGTTAGGGAAAGGTTCTTCACTGACGGAGCGGGTGGCACTGGAACAGGCTCCCCAGGGATGTGGTCATGGCACCAAGCCTGCCAGAGTTCAAGAAGCATTTGGACAGTGCTCTCAGACACAGGGTCTGATTTTTGGGTGGTCCCATGTAGAACCAGAAGATGGACTCCATGATGCTGGTGGGTCCCTTCCAAGTCAGGATATTCTATGATTTATTGGAGTAATTCTGATCCTCAACTTTATTTCTATTTAGTCTTACCCTATCTGCCACCAGTAAAATCACACAGAAAAGCACTCATACAGGAGGAGATGCTCTTCTCTTCAGGATACCTTCTTCTAAGAGGTCTTTTACCAACATATGTCAGTTTGCACAGGTGCTAGTAAATTTCTGCTGTTTGTGTAGCCATTCCAAGAAAAGGACAGCTGCAAAAGGCAAGCAGTCATCCTCTACCTTGGGAACTGATACTCAATTATTTGTATGGCCTGCTCTTGATGTACACTGCAGCCCAAATGTTTTGCATGACTAGACCTATTTATAAGGCAGGATTAAATCTTGTAGAGTTATTTTGTCCTTCCAAAGGACAATTACTGATTTCGGAATGTAGGGACAGAGGCAATATCAATCCATTTTTAATTTCTGTTCTTATTCACAGTGGATTTTCTTCATGCTTCATTCCAGCCAACACAAATTGTCTGTGATATTTAAAGAAGTTACTTTAAGAACTATAAAAAAATCAGTACAATTTGCAAAGGAAACAGAGAATATCAAGTAGAGTTTCAAGTCTTGTAAATCCACCAGTTTCAGTGGGAATAGTGAGTATTTGGCTGTGGCCAAGTTTCAGGAAAGGCACTGGAAGTCACTCTGCTAACTTATTAAATTTTGGATCATGTTGTATAGATTTAAGAATAGTTCATGCATAGCTGCTTTACAAAATAGGCAGCCTAGGGAAAGAGGTAATTAATATTTTTGGAGGAAGCCTACTGTGTACTGTTCAGAAAATGTCAGTGCATCTACGTACCAGAAACATTTTGAAAATCAAACGTTCTTTGTCTGTAAGTAATTCCATTAAAATATTGGAAAATTAGAACATAAGGTTTCTGAGAGGAGATGTCAGAAAATAAAAAATAGTTTGAAAACTACTTTATCTTAGAAGTAAGCATACTTGTAACTCATTTGTATTTTAGCTTCAGACATGCCGTGTTTGGAGCTGCAGAAGAGTTTCTTCATATGAGGACCTGTGAACTGCAGCTTCTTCCGGAAAGAAGCCTTCTAAGTCAGCATAAGTGAGAAGTAGTGATCAATAATATAGGAAAGAAAAAATGAAACATTGTAAAACATCACCTGGTGTTGGAGAAAAATGTTTTTCTATAAAAGTCTTAAAAAAAGTGAAAACGTGTCAGTACAGGATTACACCTTTTATCAATATCCCTGTGCATACCCTATAGACCCAGAGCAGACACTCACATACTTATGTGTTGCTTATAAGCCTCTTGATTTCCAAGGAGTGTAAAAAATAAAAGGAAAAAGGTGACTTCCCATAATACTAAAATGGGGTTGAGAAATATTTTATCCAGTATTTAAATGTACATAAATATCACAGTGTCAGCAGTGACAATTATCATCATCTAAAGAAATCATCTTTCAAGCTTATTACTGAATGACTGAAGTTTTCCCAGTTTGGTTACTTTCCAGCAAAACATGCCAAATTGGAATCTCACAGTCAGCTCCATTTTAGAAATATTATTCTCCCCAAATAGTGAGTGCCATTGGCTTCCATGAGTCTTTCAGTAGAAAGGAAAGATGAAAAAGCAAGGCAAAATCTGGATCCAAGCAATAAACATTGGTAGTTAAGACACTTGGAAATAAACCTCATACGAAACTGTGATAGACAGAAAATGTAGCCTTGAAATTTGGCGTTTTCTGTCTTGTCTTAGATTCACAGACAGCAGGAAATGTGTTCATTTTTATTTTTCATGTAGAAAGTATTTGTTTATAAAATGGCAAAATAACGTGAATACACAGTTCCTAGGAGGAGAAAGTATGGGTAATGTATGTCTTGTGTCTTGGCTTGATTCAGGGACATCTGTGACTTCATAGACAGACCAGCCTTCAAAAAAAAAATCCCTTGCAATAGCTTTACAGCACCCTCTTATCATGTTCCTTGATAACAACATATGTGTGAAAATCACAGTCTGCATTTTTTTTTTTTTGGTTATAAAGATGAAATGCCATTTAAAAAATAGGAAAATATAACTGTAAATTTCAGTTCTTAAATAGTACCCCATAACTGGTTCTACATACATACATTTCCATATATGCATAATTTGAAGCTTGTGACTAATTATATTGAACTTAATGGTATGTTTATGGGATTAAGTTCTCTTCACATCTGGGAATTCTAATTATTCTGGGGAAAAAAAAAAAAAACATATTTTTTTCTTTCTTAAGCCCTATGCAAATTCATTACATGCTCCTGAGTCATTATGCATAGGGGAAAAATTAAGTAAAAGAGATGATCCACAATTTCCGAGCACTGGAACACAGAAGGGAGTCCCTCTCTATTTACCACAGAAACAGCTGTCATTCAGCTGTGAGATTTGGAGCTGTGGAAACTGTGGAGGAAGGTCTCATTCCTAGTGAATAACAATAAAGAAGCTTTAGATCAAAATTCCCAGCTGAGTTTCTTGACTCCTGATATCCTGAGAGAGTTATTTTCAAATTAATTGTAGTATGCAAACATATTGTTTTTACATGGTAGTGATTTATGGTAATTGGAATAGTGATGGGAAAAAAAAATCTTTTAGAATATTTAATGAGCACCTGTGAACTTACGGAACGCATGCACGAGCATCCCGAATATTTGCCCAAGAGATTTTCCTTCCCACAGCTGTGAGATTTGGGCATCATTATTTAGATATAAATTGAGAACCTCTTTCAAATGGCAAGCAGGTACTTGGTACAAGTGCATGGGACAACAGAAGTAAATAATTGCTCAACAGTGTAAATAAAGAGCTTGCAATCTGGCTGCATTTTATTATTTATTAGTGCTTATTATAATATATTGGTCTTGTTTCAAACAGTGAAGTTAAAAGTAAAATGAGTTTCTTTGAAGAACAAGAAATACAGTACCATATGTTATGCCGATGGAATTCTGTGTGATATAGTGCTAATACATTCCTTCCAAGGCCTCAAGACATTTTATAACATTTTTAGCACCAATTTCTGCAGTAATGACTAACTTCTGCAGGACAAAAAATTACATTCCTTGGGAGGATATGAAATGATCAAGAAAGAAAACAGCTGACGTTATCCAAGAAGCTACTGAGTTAGCAGGATTTTAATGCCAGAACAATTAATATGCTATGAGAAATAAATCAGCTGGAACAATATGTAATAAGCAGAAAACATTCTTGTGGTCTTTTTATAATACTCAAAACATAAACACTAGTTATTTGAAGCAATTTTATTTGTCAGCAGATACAGTGTGCTAGTTTCTATCAAAACATGGATTTGCTTCTGTATGTATTTTGGCTGATGCCATTGGAAACACTGATAACTGATTCTGGTTTTTGTGGGAGGAATTATGAGCCTAGTGTGTAAAAGAAAAGACTAAACCAAAGCTCACAGAAATGCCTAAAGTAAAACTCACTTTAATCAATCAGTTTAATGGCTTTATCAGTCTTTGAAACAATTTTTAATATGAAGAACCAGTGCATATAAAGATGAATAGGTAAACTGACACTAGGAGAGGTGTGTTTTCTGTGTGCATGATTTTGTTTGTCAATTGAGATTGTTTAAAAGGACTGAAAGTGTTTGAGTAATCACTTTTGTGTTGTTTTTCTCTTAACATCAGTTATCCCATGACTGTTTTACAAATGGGTAAACTAAGACAAGAAGCAATTAAACTCACAATCAAACAGAAAGAGAATACATTTTCGACTGTCCAGTTTAATTTACGTATTCATTTTTTGTATTTGCAAAGACTTTTTGCATTTTCTCGATTTTTTAATAGAATTATTTATCTGGACATATTTCTGTTTTCTTTCAATTGGTGGCCTTTCTCCAGAACAAGGGTCTGAGGATGTCCAAGACCAAGGCTTACACACTTCATTCAAAATGAATCTTTTTAGCATCTTTAGAATCTTTTGAATAAAAGACTAATCCAGAAAGGTGCTGATCAGAGTTCATTTCCATTGATTTCCAAAGGTGAATTGACACATGGCAGGCTTGGGCCATAACATGGGTATAGACTATGATGCTTGGCAGTGTGCACAATGGTGATGATAAAAATGTTTTCCAGGAAAACCCTCTGTTATAGCTCCATGATTGCTTGAATAAAGTTAGTGTAAACAAGATGATTGTAGGAATAAAAATTAAGAAAAAAACATTTTGATTAAGCATATTTAATAAAATGAAATGTGTGCAGAATTAACTTTTTTTTTTTTCTCTTGTTCCATCTGTTCTGATAATGAAGGAGTCATCTACATGCTGCAGGTCATATCTGTGTTCTTAAAGATGTTTTCAGGTATGAAAGTCCAACTGAAATAGCAAATCTAACCTCTGCAGATAAGTTTGATGCAGCCCTGGCCATTCATCTTTATAAAGGAGGCAGACTTCTGCAAGGTAATTAATTCCTTTTCTATTTTGCAATAAAAATACTTCTTAATAAGGTACTGAGAAAGAAGAGAATGCATATAAACAGTTATAAATGACAATACATGCATAAACCCACACATAATGTAGTCATGCTATTTATCCACTTCAACAAATGTTCAGAAACACTGAAAGTCGTTCTCTATGGGAAATCTGATCCAGAGAGGAGGGGACTAAATAAATGTACTTTTAAAGCATTTAATGCATTTTGTAATTAAGTACTTTAACTACATTAAGATAAGAGCATTATATTAACATTAAGATACTTTCAACCAATGTGCTTTTTCAGAGGACAATAGCTTGGCTAAGTATAGCTGAGGTCAAATAGAAAAAAAGCCGAGAGGCTAATTTGATTTTTCTGTTAAAAAATGAGTCAGTTTTTTTTTGGACATGGAATAACTTTAGCTGGCACGAGTTGTCATTCATGCCAGCTAAACTGTAGGAGACAAGATGTTATCAGACAAATAATAGAATTTTCTATGGTAACTGGCCATGTAGAACAAAATTTTAGCCTGCCATTAATGATGCACTAGAAGCACTTCCTGTCAAAATTATAGATACTGTCACCTACTGAAATTGCAAGTGCGTATCCATTTTTGAGATGACATTCCAATTGTCCAAATCTATTTACTTGTACAAAGGTACATAATTTGATACTTTCATCAGATTGCAGTATAAGTTGCATTGTGCTAGTTTTCAGACTTTGAAAGTCCCCTGGCAATTTATACTGGTGGGTTTTCAGAAAGCTTGAATTACTATGTCTAGTATGCTTGTGTATCTTTTGTTACAGTGGAGCTCTGATTTCAGTAGGGATCCTAGAATACAAATGCAAAAATAATTCTGTGTGATGATCTCTTGCTGCCCTATGTATTAGGACTTCTCTTGTTGGAATACAGAAACAATTGCTTTTGTGACAAGACCTAGAGTTGTTTTGGAAGAAGCTTATGGAAAGTCTTAAAACTCTCTTTTTTTCTGAGGAACAAAAAATAAAGTTGAGTTGTAAATGTTTATAGTAAAACTTCTTTGTGGTTTTGATTTGCATAGCATCACCTGAACACTGTTGCTATTAGATTTTCAAAATCCCAAATAACCTGCAAAGCTTGATACCTGAATGACTTATAAAAGCTTACTAATTTAAATAAATCAGAGACACACTGTTCCTAAAACCATCTGTAATAACTAAAAGAAAGATAAAATGGAAGTATCTGAAAAGAAAGACAGTAAATTATAAGATTGCTGGGATGATCCTATTCAAAGTGCTTGCAATTTTTTTGGAGGAGAAAAGTGATTCATAAGACATTCGTGATTCTGGTAACATTTACATGTATTCTTCTCATATACTTTATTAAGAAATATTTAAGAAATTTAGTTATTGCAGTTGTACTACCATTAGTAAATCTTTTGGGCCTTATCACATTTTCAACACGATTGGGGATGTAAAACCAGCACATATAATAGATAACAGAATAATTATTTCATTTTTTACTTATTAGAAAGGCAATATATATATTTGTTCAAGTATTACAGAAAGTCAGTCTTCTGAGAATTAGTGCTGTGGTGTTTTGACAGTGCACTTTAATTCTCTTTACCCACAAATATTAGAGTATTACAACTATTTAGAAATGTCAAGTCTTTAAGTAGCCAGAATGGCAAGTAGTCTTTCTTTCTTTCTTTTTTTTTTCTTTTCATTAAGTAATGAGCAAATTACCAATGCTGAAATGGGAAACCACAAAAAACAAACAACAAAACACCAAAATGATCCAACATTTATTTAAATATAAATCCTCATCGTACAGCTCACTTAATTTTCAAATATAAATGTGAAATGTACAGTAAGTTTTTATTAACATATTTTGTTTTTTATTTGCTTTAAGCTTTCCTCATCTGCTTGTTTTTAACCATGAATTTTAATTATGAGAATTCACTGATTTTAAACTGATTATTTTTATCCCTTAAGACTGTTGGTAGCTATAGAAAGAGTCAGCAATAATTTTCATGGTCACGAACATTCAAGGCCAGTTATATTATTTCTCAAATGCAAGGATTTCCATCAGCACAGTATCTCCTGATGCCCTGCTTATTGGTCCAGTGCAAAGATGGCAGTGATATGTACGGAGTCATCAATACCCCTCCACTTCCATCGCATAGCAAAAACAAGAAAACAAAGCCTATTTCTGTCTTTCTTGATACACGGTTGGTGGTGGCAGTACTGCCTAATGACTGATTCTTGTTCACAGTCAGAAGAAAACCTTAGCTTCATGTGTTACAGCTAACAGAATTCTGCAAAACTATCATCATCACCTTGATGAGTTTTTTAGGCTCTTACTAGAGGCTGTTTCTTTTGCAAAACTGCAGTGCCATTTGTCTGGAATTTAAAACCATGTTCTTCATGTAGTAATTAGCCACCCTCAGGTTGTTATTTGTTAGCTTAATGTGGTGTAAAACTGACCACTAAATCATTTTCAGTGCTGAAACAGTCAAAAGTAAACATTATTGACTGCCATCTTGATTAGTTTAAGGGAAGAACACTTCTGCAACTTGTCACTTACTAAAAATAGCCTGATGCCAGGAAAACAAATTCTATTATAAAAGAATCTTAAATTACTGTTGGCTTTTGTATTTTCATCTAAATAGTCTTTGGCCTTGTCTATGTAAAGCTTACTGCTGTTAGCAAAGAAGTGCTACACTACCCTGTTTTGATGGTTTTACTTGTATTCAGATATGAATTTATTTTCATGCAATGTATCAAAACTAGCCTTTTAACACAGTGCACACACTACTGGGCTATCTGTACTTTTTCTGACAGTCTAAAATTTGGATTTTGATAAGGTCTTGTGCACAGACCTTCCCCAGTCAACATACCTCCCTTTGCTCTTACTGTTCCACTGTTGGCATCTTAAGGCACTTTCCAGAACTTGGGTCATCACTGAAGGTCTTAGAGCAACCACTTATAAACACAGACCTATCTTTTGGGATGTAATTTAGCAAAACAGTGGTTTTGCTGGAGGTAGACTGCCTTATTTAAATGAGTGACTTTTTCCAATGGTATGGCTCTACCTACGTATTTTGTAGACATGAAATTGGCCACCCAAACCATTATATTGGAATTCTTGGGAGGACATGATTGACAATGATTGACTGAAGCTAGATACCTGGAACCAAACTTTAACGTACTGTATCTTATTAAAATGCGAATGCCGTTTAAAACATTATACTGTTTGGTGGGCTGCCAAAGGTAAGAAGTAATTGTTTTTACTAAGTACAGACAAAGCCAAAGAAAATCTCATAGCTGCAAAACAGATTGACTTGCTGTGAAAGTGCCTTCTTATTGTATGTTTCTTTTCACTTCCAAAACCCTAAAAATTCATGTTTCTTCAGGTTTCATTTTCAATGGCTTTTGCTTATGTATGTGTTAGAGTATTATCACTATATATATATATATATTAAATATAATTTTCAAAATTACTCACATCCCTTTAAAAGGTAATGAATCCTGTGCCTTGTCCCCTTCTCATCTTGGTCATTGTTTTGCAGGTAGCAGAATTCCTTTTGGAATCATCTTTGGAGGGACAGATATAAATGAAGATATCAAATATGAAGAGAAACGTCGGATAATGGGGGAAGTGCTAAGGGAAGCCAGGTAAAATCTGTGTGGAAGGTTTGTGACAGCAAATTGTTTCTTTCTACTGGCAGATCTTTCAGGAACTGATCCATAAATGGTTGGAGTCACTGGGAGATGTGATTCCAGACAAAGGATAGGCTACTTGATATCCCTACAAGCTCTACTTCTTATGATTTTATGATTTCAGTGGTGAATGTAGAGCACAGAATCACAGAATGGTCTAGGTTGGAAGAGACCTCAAGATCATCGAATCCAACCTCTGACCTAACAGTAAAAAGTCCCCCACTAAACCATGTGGCAAGGGTAGTGATGAATTTTGGCTTCTTGGGCTGTGAATTTTCAAAATGACACAAATCCTATTAAAAGGTAATAAATTTTGTGCTCTTGCTTACTAATCCTGTGCTTTGCTTACTGAATGTTAGCTGTTTTCTAAAATAATAGAACTGTGCATGTGATGAGGATATAAAATTCTATGGTAGGTGAAAGAAATTAGAAGAATAATAGCAAGGAGGCTTGTGATTTGACAGCATATTGCTCTGTAGAATAATCTACTTTATGGGTAGGCATTATAAAGACAGCCTTTGGTGGTTAGTGTAACTGTGGACTGTAGCAACTAGACTGTAGTTTATTTAATGTATTTGTAAAGAATACAACTGTAGCATGCAATCAAGTTTTTCTTTCTTACCAAAACTATTTTATACTTTTTACATTTCCAGATTTGAGTAAAGAAAAAGATAGAAAAATAGCTCCAATGATATTCATACAGTTGTCATTTGTACAGAATTACCCTGGCCATGTAAATGACTGATGTTTGGTATTTAAATAATGAATCTGTAGTGGTGGAGGTGTGGTTATTTAAATAGTATCTTTATTAGTGGTAGAGTTATGAATATTCCTATTAAATCGTAATGCAGTAATATTATTAGCCTGAACAACATTGGACCCCTTTTACAAGGCCCTGTGCCAGAAATGCGAAATGTTGCTCCATATTAAAAATAATAATAATTTTTAAAAAGTTTATTAGTAAATTGTTTTTTATGTTATGTATATATAAACATATAAAACACTCTGTACTGGGAATAAAGCATTTTATATGCATTAAATTCTCTCTGTACATACAGACTGAAGTGCCATTGATTTGACTGAAGAGAAATGATAACTAAAAATAGCTGGTGTTTATCTTGTTGCATCACAGAATCAAATGTTTTCAGAGGCCTTGCACATGATGTGTTGACAGTGTGGTTGATTGAAAAGCAGGTGACTCATGTAAAAAGGGTTTTTGTTCTTTTTTTTTTTTTCTTGCTAATGTGATCCTTTTTCTAGCTACGTAAACAAAGAAGCAGAGATGGAGAAAAAAATCTGTTCAGTTTCTCTTAACTTTTTAGGTGATTTAATAAGTGATTGTTTTCAGGGTATTTTGTACATCAGGAAAAATTCCAATGACATGTCAGTGTAGTCAGCAGTGGAAAAATAATAATAATAATTTAATAGATGGTTTAAGTCTTATCAAGACACATGCTAATGTTGTCATTTCATAAGCAGCCCAACTAACTGCTTACTGATGGCAGAGGATGACCTTATTGCTACCTTAATTCCTCTCCTTCTCCTTTAATTCTTACCTGTGGCTGTGTGACCCACTCTTCTGTGTGCCAGGACTGGACCCCTTTCTGAGCAAGTCTAACTCAATTAATGGTGTAAAATTGCAGGTTTTATCTTCTGGGTTAGTTTTCCACTGCTTTAATAAGAAAAGACAGCTTGTGTAGGGATACTGCAAGGATGTCTTTTTTGTGGCAGTTAGCTGCTACAAGAGGTCATTCATTATGGATCTATATTGCGTCTGAACTTCTGGTGACCTGAGTACTCTGCAGAGGCTTCATTCCAGAATTGACCTCTAGGTAAGCAGAGAAGTCCCTGAGTGTGCAAGGTATAATAAAATTTAAGCACCTGGAACGTCTTACCAAATCCAGTGGTACTGCTTATATACTTACTCTAGCAGAGCTTAAATACATTACCGAACAACACTATGATCCTTGTGGGTCCCTTCCAGCTCAGGATATTCTATGGTTCTATGGTTTCTCAGGATACTATCTCTATTCATCACAACATTTTCACTAAAACAGATAACTACAGTGGTTCAGATAGAGCAGTATGGATTTTAGTTCATGTTAGCCAAGAGGAAATGCATATAGTGTGTGAAGTAGGCTTGTATCTTGTGGTTTTATCTTTGCTAATATGTCCTAGCTATTATTATCTAACTTAACACTGGCATAGATACGCTGTTCTGTCTATAGTGAGTTATAAAATGGGGTAGGTAAAAGGACTTTAAAGACAGCACTTAATCATACTCATTGAAAAATCATTAGGCCATGTTCTTATGTCTTAGGACTTGGAGTTGAAAAACAACTCGTGGCCCCATTTAAGACAAAGTTTATATACTTTTTTCAAGTTATTATTTAAACAGTTTTGAAGGAAGAGAAAAAAAGTTATCTAATGTATCAGTTAAAATGAGAGTATTAAATTTCAACACTGGAAAAAAGACCATTATACAAGAACAGTCTTTTTGTGTGTGTCCACTCTGATCCAATTCTGCATTTAAAACATGTTCTGTCACCAATATAGCTAATGTAGCTTATGCAAAACTATGCTTTACTGAATGATTTTTTGTGATAATTGGGTTAGGAACTTGAAGTATAGTTTAGTGGCTAGGATTTCCTCTGATGTTTCAAAATGCATTACCACATGCTTTATGCAGTTCATAATATTTTCTCTGCTGAAGGAAAAGTAATTCAGTTTTCTAGAAGTTATACTAAATGGATCTCTTCTCCAATATTGTCACTATTCATTGCATAGTTATTAAAAGAGACATTGATTTTTTTTTCCCTTATTGATTGCAGGGTTCTAAGTAAAAAGTACTATGAATTGTAGATTACTTGTCCAGTACAATAAACCACCGCATTCCATAAAACAAAGTATTGAACACTGTCTAGCTTTATAATGAGTGTTTCATTTTTAATCAAATTCCTCTAAATGGTCATTGTACTCCTCTAGCGTATTTAAATCTATTGAATAGTATTTTGTAGACTTGGGAGCAATAGTTTTTTTCTGCTTGTTTATGTGATATATTGAAAGTATAATTGCAAAAACTAGAAAGGAAGCATATGCAACTTGAGAATAAACAAGCATTTGCAAAGGCTTCAATAACCTTAAAGCTGTCATATTGTATATGTAAAATGCATTGTTAATACCATAAAGCAGATACTACAAAACAGATGTATGGGAATATCTGCTCACAACAAACAAAAGTAGGAGTTATAATTCAGCATTTATGTGACTTTTAATGCGTGGTTGTGACTTCATGCACTCAAATTATAGTATCTCCAGTGGAAAAGCAGTATTCTGGTTGTGACTTAGAAACTTGCTTCACCTCCCCCCATTGAGATGCTATAGGTATGGCTCAGGATGGAAACATTACATTAATTCTATGAAAAAGAAATCTTAAGTGTCATATGTGATAACCTATGTTTTATATTCAATATTTTTAAAAGAAATTAAAAAGAACTTGGCCAAGCAGACACGTGGTGTCTCCTATGAAGGAGGCATTCAAACAATTATATTCCACAGGACTGATAGTCTTCAGAAATGGACCCAAGTATGTTTCTAGTTAACACTGAAGTTCCATTTAGGAGCAGTCAAAGCATGTGTTTGTATTTCATCATGGTTTAAAAGTTGCATTAAAGTTCAGAATGTTCTTAAGATCTCTTCTGAACAGGGATTCTTTATTAGATCTGACTCCATAAAAATATCTCATATGACTTCTGGGTATTACGTCAAGCTCCCAGAAGGAATGACTTGTTTATCTAGTATGTTTAGATATCAGGCTTCTGTGGCTGAGCTTCTGTGGCTGAAGTCTCTCTACAATGAGGCACCCAAATATGAGAACTATAGCTATCAATGCTGCTTTTAAATAGTTGTGGGGAATTATAGTGTACTGCATGTGTTTCTCAAAGGCTAAGAAGTAGAAGTCCAGATGAGCCATGATAAACAGCCATAAGGGTAAAAGAGGAAGTAAATTTGGGAGCAGAGTTATCTTTTCCTTTCCAGGTGAAATAAAAACCTAACCATGAAGATATTTGGATACGCCTTTGTTTGCTTGTTCTTACTTTTATAATATGATTTGTATGATTACAGAGGGGGAGGAGATAGTGTTCATATCTCAGCCAATTCTACAGTTCAATTATTTTAATTTCCTTCTTGATACAAAGAAAAGTCTTAATCAGAGAACAGTCAAAATGCCCTACCCCTTAGCAGCCGCCTGCCTATCAGTATTACGGTGGGCTGGCATAAGAGTTTCTGTCCAAAATGATGAACGTGGTGTGTCTCATGTCTGGACACCCAGTTCTTCCTTATTATTATAAAGGGGTATAATGTGCCTAACTAAGCACTATGAATGTCATCTCCTCTGTAGATGCCTAACATTCAGAAGTACAGAACTGACTGTCCCAAGTCTTTTAAATTCTAGAGTTGAAGCCTAATCACTGGATCTTCTTTCTTCTTTTTCAGTTTATTTAATTCTGATTTTATTTTATTTTATTTTATTTTATTTTATTTTATTTTATTTTATTTTATTTTATTTTATTTATTTTATTTTTAATTTAAGGATGTTCCATGAAGAATAACAGTTTTGTCCCTCACACATTTTTTCCCATCAGCAGTTTTGACTAGTTAATAAGGAGAGAACACTGGGGAAAGGTTTATAAAATTCTGCTCACTTGAATTAAACTCAGTAGCAACGAATTGCAAGTAGTAGGACTGGGTATAGTCAAATAACAATAGTACAAAACTGAACATTCCTTTTTATTTAGTTATCTGGTTGTGAAGAAGGCTATTGCAACTTGCAGCAATGTGAAAACAGGAAAGGCTTCTTGCTTCTGCCTCTGTGTATAAATCTAGATAAACTACAGGATGTTCCCATTATTTAGGTTTTCTCCTATATTTAAGAAATCATCACTTTAATTCCACAAGAGCTCCAAGTTATAATCCATTTAAAGCCTGGATATACCATTTGTTTTACCAATGTTTTCTGGTAAAACAAATAGAAAGCCTGCTTTCTGTCTTTCCATCTATAATTATTTTTATAAGCCTCTGCTCATCTTTCTTATAAGTATTTCCTTCTGAAATGCTTTTCTGTTATGTTCAAACATTTTAAGTAGATGATCCCAACTATTTTTGTCCATTTAACTAGGTTTGCAGTGGCTTTCACGATGAAAATGAAGGAACTGGCAGCAGCGGAGTGGGTATGTTTATGTGATGATGGTGATAATTATAGTATCAGAAACTATGCATTCTCCTAGAATGTTTACTAAATAATGCTAGAGAATTGTAATAATCTTTGTATTCTCTATTCCCGTTCTTTTATTTCAAAGAAAGCATTTTTTACTTTGACATGTCAGATAGATCTGGCATTTAAAAGCTGTTTAGTATTTGAAAAGTGTATACAGCCGTTTAGGAGGTGCTTCTCTGTAACATTTTAAATTAAGCATTATTATCTTGAGCTTCTCCTGATACCATATGCGTATATTGGTTTTCTGCATCATTTGATAAACTTTATTTTGACAAAATTCCACTAAACAGCTTTACTTACAATAAAGATTTTGGAAGAATAATTTGAAAATATTTGTTTTATCAACACTAGAAATAGGATGAACTTATTTATGTGAACTGCAAAGCTAAAACTGAAGTTATGCTAAGCCCAGCAGTATGTGATGTACACCACTACTGATTAGGCCTTGAGCGATATATAGCACATAAATAGCACTTAACTTTTTTAAAAGTCATCTCTGCTTCCAGAAACAGATTGAAAGACATTGCTAAATGATATATGGAAAAATACTGAATACAATTATTTTTATCCAACAGTATAGTAGTCAAATATGTTTGGCATTGTATTTGAAGAGGGTTATTTAGTCAGCAAAGAACTGACAGTAATAATGCAAACTAAAATTCCTAGTATATATTAGTTAACTATCAAATTTCAGGTTCAACAGAATGAAAAACATTCAGTAAAATGTTTTTTTAGTAGCAAATATATTATCCATGTGAAAGATATTTATTATGGTAAATCTAGTTTAAAGGTAGGTATTATATTCATGCAGAGAAACATAAGTACATACAGAAAAAATCTGAAAGACCTTTCAAATGGAGTTTCTTTGATAACATCATTTAATTATTCAAAATATTTGAGCTGCCATGCTATTTTATTATAAAAAGTGTTTAACATAAATCTCTTTGTCTGTAAATACGAAGTCTTCATATTAACTTCATATCGACTTTATGAATCCTGGATTGGTAGTAAGCAATGCAAAAACTCATCTGTTTTCATATAGACTTACTGACACCAGTCATATTTTGCAAGGGCCCAGAAGCTCACTGGGCACTTGGTACTTACATATGCTAAATCCAAATCTTTCACTTCTGAAGGTTATTGATAGCTTTGCCATTGAGTTCAATGAGTTTGGGATCGAGCTCTTAGGGTTAATTTTCCAGTCTCTCAGCAAATATTGATCTCAGGTCTTTGCAACTAGTTAGTTTAATTCATTCCATGGACTGTTTAAATAATGGGTAAGTGCTGTTGCCTCATGCACTTTGTGAGGTGAACTTGCTTGCTTGGATAATGTGCTGTGCATGCAGTTAAAGTGTGAGTTCAGGCAGTTTTAAGATAAAAAACTCAAGTGATTTATCAACGGCTTACCTAATTTGACTGCTATTGTTGAACTTGAGCTTCTTAATATGCTTTTTTGATCTTGAAATATAAAGAGAGAACTTTAAGTTTTAAGGGAGAGAAAAAGTAAATGAAAAAGCATATATCATTTTTAGGAGGAGAGGAGAGTAAAATTAATGTTTTAATTTTATCTATTTATTTATTTAGCCTCTGAAATAGTAAGATAATCAGTAATTTCAAATATGTTATCCTCATTTCCTTATTGTGTTTTTGAAAGTAACTCCTGATATAATAACTGATACCTAGAGGTTATATGTATTAAAAATAGATTGGCTGACAGCAAATAGAATTCCCTTCATCTCTTGGTTTATTTCTACACATTCATTCTTTGCCCAGAAACCATGACTACAGTATTAGAATAAGTATGTTTTAGTTCTCTTTCTCTTTATTTAGTAGCTCAATTATGTCCACTGTATTGTAAGTCTACTTCATTCACCGTAGTTATTGATAGTACCTGATGCTCCTGTTGGAAAATAGATTGGATCAGCATTTTCACCTTTCTGTGGTTGAGTTCATAGCAGACTGCCAGTGGAAAAAAATGAGACAAATCCAGGAAGTCGGCAGTGCTCAATCCTGTTTTCTGAAGAATGGAGGAAGACAATAAAGAGCTGCTGGTCATTTGAGTACAAGGAGTGCTTTTGAGTAGTGTGAGACAGCACTGCTGACCTGTGAAACAATCCACACTCCACACCAGGCAGTAGCGCTTGTTAGCTCAGCTGTTTGGTGTGTGTGTGTGAGGTTAGTATTCCAAGTAATGTGTTGCCTAAAGTCTTGTACCAGATTACAGAGAACTGCAATGAGCACCAGGGCTAGGGATGGGAAATCAGTAACTGGCTGTCAGTAAGGGGCAATATATTGGAATAAAAAGAGAAAAGTTGGAACCACCCTCTGCCAGCTATTAGCGCCACTCACCTTAGCTTGTGAAGTATTGGTAAGAAAAATACTTTTATTTTCTATATTTGAGGTGAGAAACTCTTAGGTTACCCTGTATGGAGTCAGGAATTAGACTCAATAATTCTAATGGGTCCCTTCCAACTCAGCAGATTTTATGAGCCTATGATGAACAATAAATGTAAGAAGTATAAACTAACTGCTGGATATCTTTTTAGTTTTAATTTGAATCATAATATAATCGTTAATACACCTTTGCCTAAAGAAAATCACTAAGAGCTGGAGCTGGGACAACACAACAATATAATTTTTAATGCTTTCTTTCAGCATGAATTGATTTTTGATCTAGGCACATAGAGGATTTGGTAGTTACATTATAAACATAACTTGGTTTTAATAGTTACTACAATTAACTTCATGATGGGTAAACAGGAAAGGGCACGGCTTCTGTCATAGGTCTTATACTAGAAAAAGACAAAAGTTAACAGAGTATGAAAAGGAGAAGCAAACTTTAACTTTGAAATATTTTTGAATCAGCACTTATGTTTTTAAGAACTTGACTTAATTGATTTTACCTAAACACCTTTGTGTTCCTGGTTTGAGACTCATTCAGTGTTTTGGAGAAGGTCGTGGCAGACAGGGAACTGGAGGCAAGTCTAAGTCCTAAACTGAAATATCACCTGCTGACCTGTGTCTTAAATCCTAAGATTTTGAATTCTTTTTTGCAGCTGTATCTTCATATAAAGGGTAAGAGCAAATGCCGTACATTTAGTTTCAAACATTGAAAAACATAAATACATATTTCCATATCACAGCTCACAGAATATCAACTCTCTTTACATAGTAACTCACCCTAAAGTGAACTGCATTATTCCTGTAATGTGTGCTGTATTAGTTAGACAGTCGATTAATAATTTAAATTACAGACATGTAAGCAATAGCATTATGCTTAAGGGGTGTATCTTCCAACAACTTATTTTCTATTACACTGGATAAATTACCTTTAATTATGAAGTACATAATATAGCTTTTGTAATAATCTGTATTCCAAGTAAGTGCAAAGTACTGTAAAAGATCCCATGCTTATGGTCAGTGTTTTATTTCAATAATGTAAAAGTGGTGCATAAGAATTACCTAAGCTAATTTTTATTAGTATTCCTTTTCATTTTTCCACTCTCCCCACTATTGAAAATAAAGAACAAAATATAAAATTGATCTATAAAGTGCGAATACGTCTGTATACCATGTTAAACAATGTCCCTGCTCTTTTCTTCTTGGTGATCTAAACCCTGGCAGGGATATATTTACTCACCATAGAGCTATTACGGGTCTGGTAAAGCATGAAACCAAATGCTTAACTTCAGCTTATTTTTGAAACTTAGTGGTTTTGGGGAACTTAAACCACATCTTTACCCACCAAAGTCTGAAGCAGAATTATGCAGTATATTAGCTATAGAGACAAGGCTGGGTTAAGCTGCCCTCTGCTCCATCTGCTTTTTTCCACGTTTTCTTTGTTTGCATTTGTGTCCTAGCTCTGAATTTCAGCTCTTCTATTTGTCTTGCAAATTAAAATTTTGCAGTTGGCCTCCATTTTGCAGTGCTGTCTCTATCGTTATAAAGCATTTTTTATGATTGGAGAATGCAATTTAATTTAAAGTGCTGCTTATTCATAAGTTAAAAAAGGACGAAGAATTGTTAAGTAATAAAATAACCCATGAAACCTTTTTTTTTTTTTAATCATTTGAAAACAGAAGTTCATACAGCTTTTGAAAGATATACTTAATCTTCTACTGTAGAATAAACAGCATTACATTTTCCCCACTTCATATAGTAATGGATTTCCTGCTTATTCATGTAGGTTTTGTGATGTAGCTAATTCACTTTCTCAGAAATTGCCCTCTTCCCCTCCTGTGAACTGCTTGTTGAAGATTATTCAGTTTTCTGACCTCCTTTCTGTCAATTTCTTCTTCCATTTTTCTTTTTCCAGTTCATTTTTGGTAACTAAAATAGACTGTTATGACCCAGTAGTGAACTGTAGGGGCAGTCACATAGAAATGTTGGAATGAATAAAACAAAATCTTTGCAAGTGAAAAAAAGTCATTTCCTTGACTTACTTCCTGAGCTGACTGGTTCAGGACTTGGTTGCTTTAGCACTTTGTTTCTGCGTTCTCATTCTCCTAGTACAAGCTCTCTTCTTTCCTAAAGTCATTGTCCTGCAGGTGTGATTTCACAAGCTGCAGTCTGCTGCTAAGAATGCAATGGAGGTGGGAGAGGAGAAGGGAAAACTAATGTGCAGCTTGACATGATCCGACAGTATAGGTGATGCTCTACCTTGTTCAACTCTGGCTGTGTTAACTCATTCCACCAGCTTTCCACATTAAGAGGCAGGGTTGCATAGCAATCATAGCTTGAGGAATTCAGCAGTGTATCATCTGTGTATCAGCCATGTGTTCAAAAGTGGAATGGCTGGGGTGGCAGTCTGAGAGTCCTTTTCCTATTTGTCCTTTAGAAAGAGCTGTGGTAGACAAATAATCAGTGACTCATAGAGTCACAGCCTGCTAAGGGACTGGGTGTCTGTATGTGATGAAACGGGCGCTAAGGAGGAGTCTGGTTTTAGCCCAAAGACAGCAAAGACTGGTGCTCTAAGGAAGGTTGTTCTTTTTGGGTCACTGTGATGCTACGTTAAGCAATAGCTACTAGAACTGCTTGAAAGAATGTAATTTCAAACTGAAACTTCCAAGGTAATATTGAGCTAATCTGTTAGAGAATACACAACTTGACAAATGCTTTGGTTTAGTCCTATACAGGCATTGCAGCCAGCTTTTAAAAGAAATAGGAACTGTCTGAACACAAAGCTTTTGCGAATACTTTGAGCTCAGAGAAACTATGCTGTTCTTGCTAGAGGGGAAGAGTGGTTTTTTTTGTTTGTTTGCTTTTGTTTTGTTTTGTTTCCCCATTTGGAAAGATCCCGTGGCTATTTCTGTGTTTTCATGAAAAAAATGACTAGCATTCTACAAATTCATGATTGGAATTATAGAAAGATAATGAAGTAAGAACTGAGTTAATGACATAAATAACTAGTGTAGTAGCACTTCAGGAATAACTTTGGAAATATAACACCCCTTTTACTGTATCTATTTTAAAATAATTTATTGTGCAATTCTTATTTGGGAATATTCTGCAATACCTAGTACTGGCCAATTTTCCCGTCTAGACAAGTATCTACATATATTTGACAGCAATCTTAAAAAAGGTTAGGGGTATATAGGGCTTGTTTCATGCCTGATGTGTTTAAACATTTTATTATGGATAAATATAACTGTGATTTTGAGACCAGCTGTACTTTTTCTTCAGAAACCAGAGTGTTTGGGAGCTAGGGCTGTTTTATAGTTTAAAATCTTTTTTATTCTAGGGAAATGTTTTCTTTTTCTATGCCATAAGCAGGTTAATGATTTTGAGAAACTACGGTTAAACAAAAAAAACATGTTTCTACTAATCTGGTAATTGTGTTAATTACAAAATGGATTCATTGACACTGTAAATTTTCATAGTAAATGTAATAGTAAATGTAATTTAAATTGCTGACTTTGTTGCCTGTGGTCTTATTAAAATGTTCTTTTCTAATGGTCATTTCTTTTTTTTGTTGAAAGAAAATCACACTGATGAGCATGTGTTTTTTTTAAAGACTGAACAGATCTTTTATGACACACTACAAGTCAGTTTTCTTCTCTTTCTTTTAAAGCCAGATACTTGGAAGAAAATATATGTCCAAACTCAAGGTGAGAGTTTTGAAATATTAACTAAGACATTCAAGTATCAGCAAGTATCTAAGTCAGGGTATATTACTTAAGTGAGTAGTCTAAGGAAAATTCTCCTCAGCCTTTTAGGTTTGTTTACTTAATCTACAGCTCTCAGTTTAATTTATCTACAAGTAATTGTCTACAGATTCCAAAAGTTATTGTATTTTTTATATATTTTTTTTCAAATAATAAAAAAAAATTTTGAAATTTATTTTGAAATTACTCAATGAGGTGTATTTAATTGATGTTTAGTCTGTATTTAAGCTTCTTATGAGATAATAGATAACTGAGAGATTAAATAAATTACTAAAATCATTTAATTATTAAAATAATCCTTAAGGCAAAGCAAATAATATCAAAAAATATTTTTGATATTGATTTAATTCAGTTGCTTTGCCTTATGTTAATGACTTCAGCCTGAGCTGAACTGTATCTGTTTTGGAATAATGATCTTCAGAAAACAGTATTTTGTATGTAGATTTTGCAGGGCCAAATTTAGCATGGTGTAAAGAGGCTTATTTCTGTGGATTACTAAAGTGGTTCATACATAGTGTGATTGTGTGAAATTTTCAATTCCATTTCAATCTGATTACTATAGAAGGATTGTGCAGGCAACCTGAAATTGTTGGGAAGAGGAAAGCTTGAGGTGTGAACAGCTGTATATAGAATTCAATGTGCCTGAGAGAAGTATGTTTTCTTAGGGCAAGACTTTAAGAGGCATAGTTCAGCCATATAGGGACCAGTCAAACAAGCTGCTTTTCTCTTTTTTTTTCAACACAGGAATCAAGACTACACCCAGTGAAACATTTGACTGGTGTAGATTTCTACAAAATGCAGGTATTACTCACTTTTCTGTATTTGCCATATTTATGATTAATAGATATCATTCTTGAAAGAATTTTAGAATGAGAAGGTTAACTGATTATGTAGTAACAGGGCCTCATGATACAAATATTTTAAAATATTAGATTCAGGTAGAACATCAATCACACACTTCTCACAGTTTAGTAAACTATTCAGACCATCTCTAGACTGAAGGTTTGTCCAGTACTGAATTGCATCAAAAGATAAAATATTCATGGTATGGGTCAGTACCCCTATGAAGTTAGTTAGACCTAAGCACCAACACCTGGCCATGCTGTGCTTCACAGCTGTGTGATAGAAACTGAGGATTTCTATTGCAGAATTGCAGGTGAAGTGAAAAAGTGGTGAAGGGAAAAATGTTTTGATGTTTTAATATTTGGTCTTGATCTAGTGTTTGTCTCTGTTTTCACTCATGTAATGGCATGTAAGCCAGATGACCTAATTTAGTCACCTGATCTTGGCAATACTTTAAATACTTTAATGTATCTGCCTTTCCCCAAAAGAATTTGTATGCATTTTACAGTGGTAAAAATATTTCAGTGTTATAGTCACAATCTGATCTCTTATATTACAGCTCTTCCCTCTGTTACTAATGAATCCTCTCTTTCCAATTGCTTTATCATACCAGTAAATGTGCACCATTCTTCAAAATGGGTGTCTAATTTTAAATTGAGCATCGTGAAGTTATTTTGTTCTCAGTAAATCATGGCCCACAAGCACAGCACCACTAAGATTAATGGTTTTCTGAAGTGAAATGATTTGTCACTTGCTAGCACAGCCCTAGCATTGATTGGACCTCATGTCTAACTAGTCTATGATTAAAAGTGCAGTCAACAGATCAGGGAGGGGGGAGCTCCCCCTAAGTGCATATCATCTAATATATTAGAGGCAGTCTTTTGCCTAATGTGTACGAATACAAAAGCACAAAATAATTCATAAAGTACATGAAAAGCAAACTAAAATGCAACTATAACATTTATGCCTGTTAAATAATAGCTTGAAAACTGGCATCACATTATTCAGCGGTTTGGTTTTGCTTGTCTTTTTATGACTGTTTCAACTCACAGAAGGGTTGAAGTTGCAAAGGAACCTCTGGAGATCATCAAGTCCTGCCAAAGCAGAGTCACCTAGAGCACATTGCACAGGATCACATCCAGGCAGGTTTTGAATATCTCCAGAGAAAGAGATTACACAGCCTGTCTGGGCAACCTCTTCCAGTACTCTGTCACCCTCACAAGAAAGAAGTGTTTTCTCATATTCAGGTGGAACTTCCTGTGTTTCACTTTGTGCCCTTTGCCTCTTGTCCTGTCACAGGGCACCACTGAAAAGAATCTGGAACTCATTTATTTTATCAGTCTTGTCTCTATTTCCATCTCTGGTGGCAGGCTAAAATTTCCACTTCTCTTAATATTGCACATGGAGGCAGGTTCTTGACTGTACCTTTGCACTTATTAGAACTTCCCTTTGAATTGCTCTTCTGGGGATTTGCAGTTTCAAGGTGTTTGAAATATTTACAATTCTCCTAATGCAGAGCAATCAGTAGAAAAAAAAAAAGAAAGAAGAAGAAGGCAATTTTGATCAGAAGAATACCATTTTGACAGTGCTGGCTTGCACAATGAAGTGCACTTGAAAAGATCCTTAACTTTTATGCAGATAAAGCTGTCCAATCTCATTCACTTGGCATTTATGATCTTTTAAAAACAAACAAATTAAAAACCCACACTTCTGTCATGAAGATCTGTTCCATACCTAAAGGGAATTATTGATTTTTGTGGGAAATACTTCTCCAGATAACTCTTGCCTATATCTTTAGTAGTCTCCTTGAATTTATATCAGATATGGGGTTCCCAGGACTGAATGAAAAGAAACTGCCCTACAATGCAAATTGCAGTGCATTTGAGCTATCCATGTTAAACATTCTTGGTGATCAGCCCCATACATTGTGAAATTATTCTTTAAAATGAATTAGGCCTTTTAGAATATTTCAGGACTTATTTTATAGAACACACATCATATGGATATTCTTTGTACTTATTCACTCACAGAAAAACTATACCATTTGCTTGATGTTAAATGTCACACTGCTATATAAATAGACTATTTAAGTTAGGATAATGGCTTCCAGAAGAATTTAATGGCAGATTCAGCGAGTGGCAGAGTGCATCAAATACATTTCACTGTCAGAGACTTCCTACCTAGCCCCCAAAACTAAATGGTACTGAATCTCAGTAAGCAATCCCACTACATTTGTACATTCCATTTGATCATTTGGGTGGCTAACATAAATGGTAGTTGCCTAATATAAGCTGAATCTGTGCTGTGAAAAGTTTTTTTATTTTTGTTGTTATGGGTGTAATGCCAACTTAATGCAAAAATCATTGAATTTGTATTTTTTCATAGTCTCAGCAGCAGACTTGAGAGTTTCAGAGGTGATATTTGCATAGTTGTCATGTGCTAGCTGCATTAATTTCAGTGGCTGGCTGTTAAAATATTTATTGGTGAAATCTTAAAAAAAAAATAGGGGTGGGGTTTAAAGACATTTTACGTTCTAGTTACAATCAGCTTCACAGTGTTTCTCTTATGTGGATGAGAGATGGCAAACAACAGTAGGCAAAGCAAAAAAAAAAAACACCAAACCAAGTCTAAATTCCAACACAGACTTCAAGAAGAAAACCTTTTCAGTTTATTTAGTAACTTGAGACTATTTAGGAAATGGTGTGGCTCTCTATATTAGAGAATCTTTCGATGTTGTAGAACTCAAGGCTGGGAATGACAAGGTCGAGTCCCTTTGGGTTAGGATCGGCGGGAAGGCCAACAAGGCTAGCGTCCTGGTCGGGGTCTGTTATAGACCGCCGAACCAGGATGAGGAGACGGATGAGGAATTCTACAGGCAGCTGACAGAAGTTGTGAAATCTTCAGTGCTTGTTCTTGTGGGGGACTTCAACTTCCCAGACATATCCTGGAAGCACAACACAGCCCAGAGAAGGCAGTCTAGGAGGTTCTGGAGAGCGTGGAAGATAGCTTCCTGATGCAGCTGGTTAGTGAGCCTACCAGGGGTAGTGCCCCGCTAGGCCTTCTCTTCACAAACAGAGAAGGACTGGTGGAGGATGTGATTGTTGGGAGCTGTCTTGGGCAGAGTGACCACAAAATGGTGGAGTTCACTATTTGTGGCGAGGCCAGGAAGGGGACCAGTAAAACCGCTGTACTGGACTTCCGGAGGGCTGACTTTGAGCTGCTCAGGACACTGGTTGGCAGAGTCCCTTGGGAGGAGGTTCTGAAGGGCAGAACAGTCCAGGTAGGCTGGGCGCTCTTCAAGAGGGAAATCTTAATGGCACAGGAACGGTCTGTCCCCACGTGCCCAAAGACGAGCTGGCGGGGAAGAAGACCAGCCTGGCTGAACAGAGAATTGTGGCTTCAGCTTAGCAGGAAAAAGAGGGTTTATAATCTTTGGAAAAGTGGGCAGGCCACGAGGGAGGACTATAAGGATGTTGCGAGGCTATGCAGGGACAAAATTAGAAAGGCCAAAGCTCATCTGGAGCTCAATCTGACTACTGCCGTTAAAGATAACAAAAATGTTTTTATAAATACGTCAACAAAAAAAGGAGGACTAAGGAGAATCTCCATCTTTTACTGGATGCGGAGGGAAACTTAGTTACAAGAGATGAGAAAAAGGTGGAGGTGCTTAATGCCGTCTTCGCCTCAGTCTTTAGCGGCAATACCGGTTGTTCTCTGGATAGCCAGTACCCTGAGCTGGTGGAAGGGGATGGGGAGCAGAATGTGACCCTCACTACCCAGGAGGAAATGTTTGGTGACCTGCTACGGCACTTGGATGTATGCAACTCGATGGGGCTGGATGGGATCCACCCGAGGGTACTGAGAGAACTGGCAGAGGAGCTGGCCAAGCCACTTACCATCATCTTTTTTCAACAGTCCTGGCTATCGGGGGAGGTCCCAGTTGACTGGCAGCTAGCAAATGTGATGCCCATCTACAAGAAGGGCGGGAGGGCAGACCCGGGAAACTGCAAGCCTGTATGTTTGACCTCAGTGCCAAGGAAACTCATGGAGCAGATTATCTTGAGAGTCATCACGTGGCACTTGCAGGGTCACCAGGCGATCAGGCCCAGTCAGCATGGGTTTATGAAAGGCAGGTCCTGCTTGACGAACCTGATCTCCTTCTATGACAAAGTGATGCGCTGGGTGGATGACGGAAAGGCTGTGGATGTGGTCTACCTTGACTTCAGTAAAGCTTTTGACACCGTTCCCCACAGCATTCTCCTCAAGAAACTGACTGCTCTTGGCTTGGACTGGCGTATGCTTCGTTGGGTTAGAAACTGTCTGGATGGCCGGGCCCAAAGGGTAGTGGTGAATGGAGTCAAATCCAGTTGGAGTCCGGTCACTAGTGGCATTCCCCAGGGCTCGGTGCTGGGGCCGGTCCTCTTTAATATCTTCATCAATGATCTGGACGAGGGGATCAAGTGCACCCTCAGTAAGTTTGCAGATGACTCCAAGCTAGGTGCATGTGTCGATCTGCTTGAGGGTAGGAAGGCTCTGCAGGAGGATCTGGATAGGCTGCACCGATGGGCTGAGGTCAACTGCATGAAGTTCAACAAGGCCAAGTGCCGGGTCCTGCACCTGGGGTGCAATAACCCCAAGCAGAGCTACAGGCTGGGAGATGAGTGGTTGGAAAGCTGTCTGGTGGAGAACGACCTGGGAGTGATGGTTGCTAGTCGGCTGAATATGAGCCAGCAGTGTGCTCAGGTGGCCAAGAAGGCCAACGGCATCCTGGCTTGTATCAGAAGCAGTGTGGCCGGCAGGGCTAGGGAGGTGATCGTCCCCCTGTACTCGGCTCTGGTGAGGCCGCACCTTGAGTACTATGTTCAGTTTTGGGCCCCTTGCTACAAGAAGGACATCGAGGTGCTTGAGAAGGGCTCAGAGAAGGGATCCATCAGGTCCATCGGGTCCAGAGAAGGGCG